TCAGCGAGAGTGTTAAGTTCAGGGGACAAGCCACCATGAATGCAAAGGAACTTATCTGAACGGGGAGAGGTCAACAGTACCTGGCCGAGATGATTACCATTAACAACAGCCGCCAACGGGAGGGTATCGAAGGACTCCATGAAGAGCTCATACACTGTTATATTATACTTATACCTATACAACGACAACAATACGGCATCCAACAGCATTCCAAAAGTTAGGAAATAAGATCCAAAATGAAGCCTTCCCTGATAGAGCGGCCCTGAGCAGAGCCTTACTCGCATTCATCTCGAAGGTTGAAAAAAGCAGTCATTTTTCGGCACTCGTGATTCCCGCGTAATAACGTTATCGTCTTGGGGTAGTTGATCTTCAACGCATATCTTTTGACAATGGGCGAGTAGCATAAAACCGAAATGGAATACTATTACAATAGCAGGAGGACCTCTACACTGTAGCTTCCTCTGTCTACATAGTCCCCGAGGAACAGATATCTAATGAACACGTGAAAGTTGCATAAACTCTCTTGTGGTGTACTGAGTGGTTTCCGGGTCGCCACCGACTTGTAGTAATTTAATAAGGTCATAGTATCTACCAACACCGTCAATGTTCGAACCCTTTCCCCTTCTAGTACTGTCCATGTATGTCCCCTACAACAGTGACGGGGTCCTTGACATGCACAACGTTGGCTTCTGCCCCACACAGCCTTACGAGCTCCTTCACTATTCGTGTGATGGATTCAATGTAAAGTCTTCCCTCAGCGACCTGTCCTAGATAATGCATCGTCCAAGCGCTTCCCTCCACTCACCAGATGCTTCCTAAGGCATCGCCAGTCGGGTGGGGACTCCTCACCGTTGGGGAAGAGCAGTTCCGGTGTAAGCGGCTGAGCAGCAACAGCATGACTGTTGTCTTTTGACGACCCTACCGCACGAGGTGGCGGAGTTACGGTATGAACTCGACGATCATGCAGCGGGTCTGCCAAGGGCTCCATGCTCCTTATGATGAGGGAAATTGAATATTGAAAGCCCACTACTACTACTACTACTACTACTACTACTACTACTACTACTACTACTACTACTACTACTACTACTACTACTTCTACTAAACTTGAGAAAATAATCTCTACTGACAGCGGTCCCAGTGGAGAGCTATTTCGCTCATTGCTGAGGTGTCACAAGTTATTCGGAATATTGTGTATATCAGCATATACCGCCATAAAAGGAGTGATCGGCACTATGAGGGCCTCCCTAACTCAACAGCCCCTTTGGTAACTACTGGTGAAGTCCTTATGACCAGGTAAAGCATCGAATATTTCTCATCCGCTCCCATCGGACAAGACGCACGATATGAAGAACGACTCTATGAGATACTAAAACAACACTCGGAGGAAATAATGGAAACGATATGGTCATGTACAGCAAGTGTGGTGAGGATATTAGCCTATACAGAATCGATAAGGGGTCCCCCCTGCAGTCAACTCCCTCTCCTCCCCAAGAGGGAATGCATCTCGACTGTCGCTTCGAGGTTTGGGTTATACGCCCGCAACGACAGTTATGTAAGGTCTTGACAGGTTCCCATGCAACTGTCGTCTTCGTTGTCCCTAAGTTCGCTGGCTTTGGGCGGGCGAGAAACTCAAAGCGCAAAAACCGTTAGTGTTCAATCGTTTCAGCTCACGTTGAGTGTACACGATGCTGCCTAGTTTTACTTGGCTAGTACAACTACGTGTGAGAGGTGAATGCACCTCGGTGCTCTCGAGGGAAGTTGGCGATGGTTAGAAGTATTTCGAATCCCTTAGAAGTCCATTTCGCAGCTAAGGACAGCAGTTTCGGGATAAAGTTCCATCATCGCTGCAGATAACAATCTAAGCAGCATTTATCCACAATGATTTTCGCGGAGGATATTTTCGCGCATCGCGGAGGATTCGTTTACGTTTTATTGCATAATTCTAGCGGCGCTTAGCCGAGAGCACAATCTAGAGTTAATGTCCTTACCAGTGAAAGTAGCAATAGGTTTGTGAAAGGTGTGGTATCATTATGGCGACCCCACAACCGACTGATGATGAGAGTAATACCTACAGAACCTACAGGAGCAGCAAGCGCCAACACTCAAGTCCGTTGATTCAGTTCTGGCCCAACTGGCTGCTATTAGGGAGGAGGAATGTGCGTCCCTACCTCTCATATCATTACCAATCAGCATAGTGGATTTCACCGGAAAGCTCATGAGTAGTGGTGGTAGGTCTGTATAGCCTGTCGAGGTGCTCAGATGTATCACAGCTCCTACCTCGTTCATTGTGAAACTGGAGTCTCTGCATAACGAAAGCAAAATAAGGCGAATACGGCCAGATGGGAATTGCTTCTATAGAGCATATGCTTGTGGGATCCTGCAGGTACATATGGCTAGT